GAAATGTCTGTTCAATACATTTTTCGTTATTAAAACTTTCTTTAGCTTGATTAATGGAACTTTGCTCATTCATTCATTTAGCTCATGAAAATTTACTGAATGAATAGTTGTGCAACATGTAAATAATGGAGACATTGCCCCTACCCCACATTAAGGCTCATTTTTTGGAAAAGGCTTAAATTTCTTACCAACTTAATTTATGGGTCACAAAATGGAAAGGAAAATTGACAAATATTTGCTTACTTCAGTCAATACAGATGGCAAACCAGATAATTCAGGACTGATCCAGTTAACCCTCAATTGGCAGAGGTACAAACATTTTATGTTCTCACTCTATTTCTAAATCAAGATATTTTATTAGCTTCAGACATAATAAAGCAGTAATAAAATAGGTACAGAATGAAGCCCTAATGGCCTACATCTTAACTAATATAATAACAAAGTAGTCAATCCTTAGTTAGGCTGGTATATTAGCATAGTTTCTTTCAGCATATTTACTTAGTTGCACAATTATTCACTCCAAAAAACTTTTTACACACACATATATATATTTTTTCTTTTTTGGGGGCAGTAGCCCTCCAAAACTCTCTAGCTTTGCTAAGATACAAGTGGATCTCACTTATTCTTCTTCACAGAATTTAATAAAGTTTTATATTTTAAATTTATTTAACTTTGGACCAGCTCTCCCCTACCAACCCCTCCTGGAACTGCAATTAAAATGGAAGCTGGATATTTCAGATGTTCTTCTTTAAAATCCCAAATACTGAAAGGATGTTTTACCAAAGAAGACATGCAGATGGCCAACAGACACATGAAAAGATGCTCAACATCACTCATCATCAGTGAAATTCAAGTCAAAACCACAATAAAATATCATCTCACACCGGTCAGAATGGGTATTCTCAAAAGGACAAGAAATAACAATTGTTGGTGAGGGTGTGGAGAAAAGGGATTCCTCTTGCACTGTTAGTAGGAATGTAAATTGGTACAGCCACTGTGGAAAACAGTATGTAGGTTCCCCCCAAAATTGAAAATAGAAATACCATGAGATTGAAAATAGAAATACCACGAGATCTAGTAATACCCCTTCTGGGTATTTACCCAAAGAACATGAAAACACTAATTCAAAAGGATACATACATACCTATGTTTATTGTAGCATTGTTTATAATAGACAAAATATGGAAACAACCTAAGTGACCATCGATAGGTAAATGGATAAAGAAGCTGTCTTACACACACACACACACACACACACAATGGACTATTACTCAGCCATAAAAAGAACAAAATCTTGCTATTTGTGACAACAGTGATACATAAATGTATTAAGCATAAATGTATTATAGTTAGTGAATTAAGTCAGACAGGAAGACAAATATCATATGATTTTACTTAAATGTGGAATCTAGAAAATGAAACAAAAAAATAACAACAATAACAGAAAGAAAGACTCATAAATATAAAGAACAAACTAGAGGTTACCAGAGGGGAAGGGGACAGGGGATACACAAAATAGGTGACAAGAGGTATACACTTCCAGTCATAAAATCAATAATAGGGATGAAAAGTAGAATATAGGGAATGTAGTCAATAATATTGCAATAACTTTGTGTGGTGATAGATGGTAATTATACTTACCATGGTGAGGGTATCATAATGTAGATAATTGTCAAATCACTGTGTTGTGCACCCGAAACTAATAATATATGTGAGAACTATACTTCAATTAATTTTTTTAAAATTGAAAATCCCCAAATAAACTTCTTTCCCTTTAATACTTATTCAACCCTTAAATCTGGAGTCAATCTACACTGGAACATCTCCTCTGGGAGTATGGATTATTTTATATTCATCTGTATAACTCCACACCTTGCTTAAAACAGTGTTTTCTTTCTTTCTTTCTTTTTTTTAAGATTATATTTATTTATTTGACAGACAGAGATCACAAGTAGGCAGAGCAGCAGGCAGAGATAGAGGGAGAAGCAGGCTCCCCACCGAGCAGAGAGCCTGATGCGGGGCTCCATCCCAGGACCCCGAGATCATGACCCGAGTTGAAGACAGAGGTTTTAACCCACTGAGCCACTCAGGTGCCCCCCAAAACAGTGTTTTCTATATCACAAAACTAATAAATATGAATAAATAAAATATGTTTAAGGGAAGCCAGGAAGCCTAGAATGCTTTTTTCATTTTGATTTTTCTTTTCTTTTCTTTTCTTTCTTTTGTTTTTTAGAGAGAGAGACAGAGCAGGGTGTTTGGGGGGAGCACAAGGAAAGGGAGAGAGAGAATCTTAAGTAGACTCCACACAGAGTGCACAGCTTGATAAAAGCCTCGATATCATAACCCTGAGATCATGACCTGGGTGGAAATCAAGAGTCAGACATTTAACTGGCTGAGCCACCCAGGTGCTGATTTCTCTTTTCAATTCATGTGACAAGTGATATTATTTTTGGTGTGGACTATTAATTTCCACTGTTACAACCAGCTATGCTGTCTGGTTGCTTCAAAGAGTTTGAATATGAGAACACCTCTCCTCTCTGGGAAGGGTTACAGATACATTGGGTCGAGGAATGGGAGCTTGAGGTATAACTCCATGAACTGTAGGGGCGTTTTTATAATATTTCTAGGACATGAATCCAAAATGAATAATTCTTTTCTGATACTGTCAAGACTAGCCCAAAACTTTTTTTTTCCCCCTTGAATTAGGGGGGAAAAAAAGGAAGTGGGAATACTAGGAGGAAAAAATGATCCACTCTTCAGAGGCTCAGAGGGAAAGTTCTAAATCACTAAATGTCATTTTATCAAAAGATTGATTTTATTTTATCCAAGCTTTGGAATCATTTTCATTAGGAATAAAATGTCAGTGGTAATTTGAAAGGACTGGTACAATTTAACAATTAATAGTAGAATCAGTGGTTGAACTGGTTGCCTTTCAAAAGCGTATACACACACACACACACATTTATGCTTGTATGTATGCATACATTTTTAAATTAAATACAGAGATGTATGTAACTATATACATGATATGCATATATATATGCACACTCAGGTATATGTGTGTATGTTGTATATATACATGGAGAGAGAGTTCTAGCAATTTAAATCGTGTTTCATTATTCTCATCTACTTTGTAATGTAAGGAAGTTTGATAAAAATTCTAGTAGACTGCTTGGCCATGAACTTGTTTATTTTTCATGCATATTTATTGAACTAACACATTTAAGGAAATATCTTCAGGCTCTTCAGCCTATTCAATTTTTCTTTTTAATTATACAGTAAAAATGCTTACAAACATTTTGCAATGTCAATTGAGAGTCTCCATGTAAGTCTCACCCTCTCACATTAATATGTAAAGTGTACCGCTGCTTCCTCTTCTGCATATCTGTCAACATCAACACATTCATGGATATTGAAAAGGGTATAGATTGAGGGAAGAGTTTCCACTACACTGAATTTTTTTTGGATTATTTTTACTTACTGAGACTTATCATTGAACTTGGTTGCTAACTGATGTGACATTGCTTAGATCTGTAAGCTATATAAAAAAGGTTTTCAAAGAATATCCCCAAGGAATAAAATAGGTAGGTATGAAAGTAGGTATAAAACATGAAGGTACTTTTCTAGATTTGAATCCTGGGTCATCCTTTTTTCAATTGGGAAAGTTATATAACCTTTCTCTACATTTTTTTTTTTTTTAAGATGTTACTTATTTTTTTTTTTGACACAGAGAGAGAGAGAGACAATGAGAGAGGGAACACAAGAAGGGAGAGTGGGAGAGAGAGAAGCAGTCTTCCTGCTGAGCAGGGAGCCTGATACTGGGCTAAATCCCAGGACTCTGGGATCATGACCTGAGCCAAAGGCAGATACTTAACAACTGAGCCACCCAGGTGCCCCCTTTCTTGATGGTTCTAAATCTCCCTAAAATTATTCTGAGGATCAGCACAAATAATGTCATATATAACATCACCTAATACAAAAAAAGAAGTGGATATTCATCTTTGTGTTGTTACCGGGGAAAAGTATGATCGTAGGAGTAGGAGATGACATTTAAATCTATAAGTATAGGGAAGTTCTTTTTTTGTAGCAAACATGGACGTTTTGTATTGTACTAAGCCACAATAGAAGTGAAATAAGTTTGTTAGTATGGGATTTAAATACAGCACCATCAACTATGAGAATAGCCAGCACTGTTAAACAGGGACAGGGCCAATTTTGCAGAGCACTGAGAACTCTCTGCCTCTTGTAATTATAAAGATAACTCAAAAAAACTATCTGCATTTGCATTCTAGTAATACTCGTGTTTTTGTAAGTTCCCAATGTGTGTCCATAAATTTAAGGAGAAACTTAATAAAATGATTAGCACAGACTATAAAGCCACCAGTGGTATGCGGCAGTTGGCACTGGAGATAAGGAACAAATAAATATTCAGGTGTTGTAAGTCTGTTATTAAACCACTGGTAGCATGACCATGGTAGGAGCATTTACACCAAGGCAATTGGCAAATGCTACATACAGATCTGGGGTTCCCTCCATCCACCCCAAAGACCTGGTTTACCAATACATTACTGATGAACTGCTGAGGCAGACCCATATATCTTTAACTGCCAGCTTTACTACTTCACAGTTTATAGCCTTTAATTATAAATAAAAATAAATAATAATATAAATAAATAACAACTAAAATAAAAAATAAAAAGTTATTTTGCTTTCTCTCCTGCAATTTCCTAATCTCAAAAAAGATATAATTATTTCTTTGTCCTAAGGTTGTTTTGAAGATTAACTGAGTTAACTTATGTAATACATACTCTGTAAATGGTAGTTTATATTAAGAAGCTAAAATCATCAAAGAGACAACAATGAAGAGAAACTCAGAAACCCAAAGTAAATGCAGAACTTTCTGAGAACAGTGGTTTTTGCTTTATTAACAGGAGTCATGAAGCAAGTGATTTGAAATATATAGTAGAGAAGAAATCCACGAGACTTGGGGCTTCACTTACCATGAAGAGATTGTTGTGTGCTTTTCCACTCTCTCCAAAAGGTGAGATAACAGAACCAGTCCCGACAGAAGTGCTTTCTTGGTTAGTCTGTTGCTCTGGGACTGGCTCATACAAGCTGTCCATGGAGCCTTCCTGCAATAAAAGAGATTTACAAGGCACAAAATAATAAAATATTTTCCTTGAAAAGTCTTTTTTTTTTTTTTTAAGATTTATTTATTTTAGAGAGCAAGTGAGCACGCAGGCAGAGGGAGGGAGAGAGGGAGAGGGAGAGAATCCCAAGGAGACTCCCCACTGGGCATGAGGCTGGATGTCAAGCTCCATCTCAAGACCCTGAGATCACAACCCGAGCTGAAGTCAAGAGTCAGCTGCCCACCCAACCAAGCCACCCAGGCGTCCCTCCTTGAACAGCCTTCGAAACCTATCTACCCACTTTCATAAAGTATCCTATCTAAATCATCCTGGGCATAGAGACTAAGAGTTAATGGTATGCCATTTTACAACAGTGAACAAGGCAGTAAAGGAAGGCATTCTCACCGCTTACTACAGAGCCAGCAATTCAAACAAGACTCAAGTGTTGGGGAGCAACGCACAAAATGAGGAAGTTTCTCAAGAAGCGTGATGAATTCATCCAGGTCAAAGTACGATTAAATGAAGGCCGATTCGGACAGCATTACACTGTGTTGGCTCTCAGGTCACAGATTTTAGAGACACATATCCCTCTAATTAGTCCTATGCCCTTGTAGGAGAAACACAATCTGTTGTACTGCTTCCTTAACAGTGAAGCAGCAGTTTCATCCACTTTACAGAGGAACCATCAGGGTAAAATGAAAACACAGGACACGCTTCGAAGTAGCAAAAGTATTTCACAAGCATGATAAAGGCTTTGACATTAATGTTTACAGTATTTATATTAATAAATAATATTATTTACTTGTTTTTATTCTTTTACAGAATAATGAATTTTACACTGAATGGTTTGCACTTAAAACCATTATGAACTATACTGTAAATTTTCTTTGTATTTGGGAAGCCAACTTACTAATTGAACAGACTTGTATTTTCTCCTTTTGAGACAAAATTGTTCTAGTTGTGATGTCATCTGGAAGAGAGGTAGACAGTATATGGAAATTTCTTTAGTAACTAGGGATGCTGATAATGGTGTCATTAATATAAGTGTCTGTTGGATTACGAAAAAGTTTTCTTGCTTGAAAGGATAATAAAAACTATAGTGTGGTACTGAAAATGTTCTCATCCTCAAAAATGAATTTTTTAAATATATAAGCTAAGATTGAATTACATTTGCATCATCTACCTTTAGAACTTTAAACTAAAATGCTCTACGGTTTTATATTTTAAACAACCTCTCCTCAAAACACATAGCAAATTATTGGGAAAATTAAAAAGACTTAAGTAAGAACTAAGTCGCGTATGCTCTAAGGTACCTAAACGTGTAAGGAGACTGAAAATCGAACTGAAACCCAGTGTGGTGGGTGAATGCAAAGCTTTGAACCTGTTGGGTGCCCATCCACAAACAGGTAGTAGTGACCAGATTTTGGGCTCTGTGGGGTAACGTGCAGTAGACATCAACCACATAAAGCAAGTCCATGCTGAAATCCAGGGGCTACAGCAAAACTCATAGTTAGAAAGGAGGCTGGGAAAAAAGCTCCTTCCAATAGCTGCTGGGGCCCTCAGAAGAGCGAAATTTATCAACACAGCCAGCAAAATGGGACCCAAAACAAGCAAGCAGCCAGCTGGTGCAGTCACTGGCTCAGTCATACACCAACTATCACTTTGGGATAAATTCCCGGACCACGGATGCCTGGGTGGCTCAGTCAGTTAAGCATCTGCCTTCGGCTCAGATCATGATCCTGGGATCCTGGGATCGAGTCTCCCATCGGGCTCTCTGCTCAGTGGGGAGTCTACTTCTCCCTCTGCCTATGCTCCCCCTGCTTGTGCTCACTCACTCTCTCTCTCTCTCTGACAAATAAATAAATAAAATCTTTAAAAAAAAAAATGTTAAAAAAAAAAAAAAAAGATCCCTGGACCATCAATATAAGTCTTCGCTCTAACCTGGAGCCTCAGAGAGACTTGAGGTCTCTGCCTCACAACCAAATGGGGAAAGGTGAAGAGGGCAGAGAGGAAAGAGAAAGAGGGGAAAGAGGGTGTAGGTTGAGGGGAGAGGTGGGTGAGGGAGAGGCAGTGACAGAGACACAGAGAGAGAGAACAGAAAGAGTTTTAGCATTCAACATTAACCAAAACACATGAGGGGATTAAATGCTGAGAAAGAGAGCCAACTGAACTGACAATCTGAAAATCAAACCATTTCATTCCAGATAAAATTAAAATCAAAATGGATGGAGAAACAATTTAAGAAAGAATGTGATCTTCATACAGTAAAATAAAAAAGTAATATCCAACTATGAATAATCTATGATGAAACCAAACAGGCAGCAATGAAACAAGTATCATTAAAGAGCAACAAAAATAAACAATTACAACATCTTGAGAATGAATAATATAATCAAATAAATTTATATGAAAAAAATAAAAAATGAGGATTAACTCTAGACCTGAGTCTAGAAATCTGAAAAAGATTAAGGAATACTGAAGAGTGTACCCATGGTGCAGCATATAAGGATAAATAGAAAACATATGGTACATTCAGGTAGAAGTGTGGCAGGATATGACAAAATAAGATTAACAGGAATTCTAGAAAAATAAAATGACAGAATTTTTCTGTCAATTAAAGAAAAACTCTCTGCTCAGCAGGGAGTCGGCTTTCCTTCCTCCCTCTCACTGCCTGCCTCTCTGCCTACTTGTGATCTGTCTGTCAAATAAATAAATAAAATCTTGAAAAAAAAAAAGAAAAACTATAGACCAATTTTACTTATAAAATAGTTTTAAGAAATTCTAAAGGAAATGCACACATTTAAATTTAAATAAATTTAGTAGCCTCCATAAAAATACACCATGGTCAATCAGTATTTAATATGGAAATACAAGGGTGTTTCAACATTTAGATGTCTTTTTAAAATATTTAACAGAAAATTTACTATTTCAATAAATTTGAAAAATTTCTTATTCATCTGTGATAAAATCTTAGCGAATTAGGTAAAGACAGGATTTCCTTAATCTCACTAGGATTATTAATCAAAAGCCTCACTCAGAAAGACTCAATTAGGAGTAACTACATGAATGTGAGAAACAAGTTTGAGGTACCTACTGTTACAGCATTCTGACTGTAATGTAACAGAAGAGAGAGAAAACTTGAGAATGATATAATTACTAAAGAAGAGAAAAACTTACAGATTATCTGTGTGGGAAATCTAAGAAAAAAACATAGACTATCAGAATTTTTAAATTCAGCAAAATTGTTTACTTGGAATATCAGTATCAGGAAGTCGATAAAGCATCTATAAATCAGCAGAAACAAACTAAGAACAAATAATCACAATGGCAACCAAAATTCTTAGACCCCTAGCAGTAAATTTAGTAAAAGATGTGCATGAATTTTATAGAGCAAATCATAAAATATATTAATAGTCCATAGGAGAAAACTTGAATAAATGAAAAGCTACACATATTTGTGGGTGGGAGGACTCAACTCCATAATTAAGTCAATTTCCCCTAAAGATGATGTGAGATTAAATCTGTTTTAACCAAGATCGTATCAAAGGTTTTCATATTATTTGAAATTTACCTAGAAGCACAAAGACTTAAGAAGTCCAAATTTTGAAGAAGGACAAGGAGAGGGTATTCTGTTGAATAAGATATCTCCCTTAGCATTAGAATTACTTTAATAGGTATATAAAAGAATGGGTATAAGGAAAGGGGTAGAGAGAAACTAAAGGGATAGAATAAAGTCCAAATAAAATAGAAGCAGCATTATTACAGATCACTGAAGAAATGGTGCAGGGATAATTGATTTGTAACCTTACTGGGTTACAAAGTCATGTTAAACTCAATAACTATGTGATGAGCTCAACAAGAAAATCATCCTGCTTCTAATGAGCAGGTCTTCTAAAAGCCTTATCACAATGTTAAAACCGTAAGAAAAATTCTGGAGTCAGAGTGGCATACATAAAAGGATATCTCTGCCTCCCTTTTGAAAGATAGACCCCATTTCGAGTTTATAGATCCAAAATAATAGCAATCACCTTTAATGGATTATTTATAGGATCCTTAGTTCAGAATGGGTAGTTCATTAAGTTTGCTTTATATTTCTCTTAAAAACCCCATTTACTAAAAGATTTACAATTTCCCCCTCCACTTAAATAAGAGAATGTTTAACTCTTTCTCTGGCTTTCTTTAGTGGTAATCTTCACATGGTCCTTAATATTTAAAGCCACCCCCTTCCCACAGAATTAAAGATCAATATATAAATATACACCTATATTTTGTGATTTTGAAATTGTTCTTTCCACTAAATCATGATTTTTATTCTCTTTATTTTAAATGCCTGTCCCATATGTTCACATTCCTACAGGCACAGATAAAATGTGTTTTGAATTATGCACAAATTCCTGGCGAAAGCTGTAACCCCACCCCGTTTTCGCAGCTCATAACAGCACAGTAGGGTGTCACAACACCCTGGTGGAGAGCCCATACACTGAACAATTTTATTTATTTAGCCCACAGGAAGAAATAAAAAGCACCTAAAATAGTTTTAAGGTTTTTCCAAGTAACTTGTGGACATTTTATTATGAAAGCAATTAATTTTGACAAACTTTGGAATGCTTGAACATTCCGTGTTCAGGATGGTTCCGCCTAATCAAGTATGTTTCCAAACAAGGAATTGTTTAAGGACAAGTTTAAAACATGGAAAAGCGTTGCAGTCAGAGTGAGTCCACGTGGCATGGCTTTGAAGCAATCCTTTTGGAGTACGTGCCCCTCTCCCTATATTACAGAGAAAGACAATGATGCTCCTTAGATGGTTAGATGGCTTCCATCGCAGGATTAGGAACGTCTGCCACCCTCGGCTGAGCCACGCTATGTTATAGAAACATTAGCATACTGATTATAGAGCCATTCAGAGTGATTCTGGAATGCAGTCGTCTCTGCTACAACACTGCCTATTTCCATGGGAAGTATATTCATATAAAGCCCATATAGCTCTTTTAGATCGACTAGAAAAGAATGCACAATACCACTTAAATCACCTGAAATGGGATTTCTCCAGTCAGATTTATATGGCACAAAGCGAAGTTGAGCACCGGCAATTATTTTGTAAATTGGGACTACAGAGGCAATCAGAACTCGATGATTCAGCCTGCCACAACTCACAACTGCATTTTATTTTTCAAGATGCGCCAAGATTAAATCCCTTATCTTGGCTTAAAATGCCTCCTGTTTAGGTATTACAACCTATGTCAGCACCATCTCCCGCACTTATGTTAATCTTATTTGCAATTTGGAAGGAAAACAAACATCAAAGTAAACCATTTTATTCCCACAAATGACAGGGATCTCCCATCCACATCTTGAAAAACCAACGAATAGGCATAATGTCCTGCTGTAAACACAGAGAGAAATGAATAAAATTATTTTTGAAATCCATTTTTAGCATTGGCAGATGGTCACAATTGCAGGTTAGAGTTATAAAGTATTTCCAGATCTATGACTACCTGCTAACTTTCACTGATCCACTTCAGGCTAAACTAAAAAAAAAAAAAAAAAAAAAAGTAATAATGTAAAAAAATTTGAGAAGTGCTTATACCCTTGAATGAGCACATCTGCAGGAGTGGAATAATCTATTGTACCTCGCATTTACAGTACTGTGTAACTCAGGAAGCTGCCTCCATGGTAGTTTAACAAAGCCAACATTAAACGGAATTCATTACTCACACAGTAAAGAAGAAATTTTGATTCCTAGGATGTCTCAAAGCAAAGCAAGTAACCCAAATGCAGCATATTTTGCAAAAATTTTTCTCATATTTACAATAAATAGAAGAAAATAATTCCTCAAAAATACCGTTTACATATCATTCTTAGAAATTCAGCATAAAAAGACATTCAGCATCAAAATGTTAAATAACTAGTCATTTTTTAAATAAATATATATATGTATACATATATATGTATACATAGTTAAGTTACTTGCATCTGAATAGAGTTGGCTTAAGTGCTTTAATAAAAACATCCTTTTCCTCTTTTTGATGCGGACTTTTTTATGAGACCCTAAATGTATTAATTAATTACCACATAGGAAGTTTAGAGTATACCTGAACTCCATTCCTTTTCATTGATACAGTAAAATAAAAATGAGGATATCAATGATACATGTAAAGAAACTCACCAGTGAAAAGCAGAAGAGATTCATTTTGGTAGGCTCCAGTCCCTTGTTGCTGTGCCTATGAGAATATGATCACCCCTTGTAGCTCTCGGCTTCACAGCTGTAGGGGTAGTTCTCATGGGAGATGATTACAGAGTAAAATCCCTGCCATAATCCAGGGGATTCAGAGACCAGGATCAAAAGAGATAGGTCTTTATTGAACAAACAATTTTCTAAATTAATGAGGAAGTCTGACTACTCAAATGAGAGGATGAGACGTACCATGTTCTGTGTAAACAGATTTCACAGGTGGCAATGATAGTACTAAAGTCTGAAGGAAAACTGCAGTGAAAACAATCATAGACCTAGCTAACTAAATTGAAAAGATAAAGCAAACCTCGAAAAAAAAGACCATCCTTCAATATAAAATATCACCTTCCCTTCAAAGGTGGTAGGTTGAGGCTGTGTCCCATGTGTGCCTCTCCATCCCTCTATTTCCTTCCATTAATTTAAAAAAAAAAAAAAGTTTTTTTTTTTTTTAATAAGGCAAGATAGTGAAATAAGTACTTTTTATAGTGGTAAACTAGACATAACAATTTACCATTGTAACTGTTTTACAATGTACAGTTTTGGTGGCATTAAATACATTCACATTGTCATTAACCATTACCACCATCCATCACCAGAACTCTTTCGTCTTGGAAAAAGTGAAACTCTGGACATATTAAACACCAACTTCCTACTCCTCCCTCCCCACCAGCCCCTGGGCATCCATCATTCTTCATTCTGTCTCTATGAATTTCGCTTTTCTACTAGGCACTTCATTTAAGTAAAACCATACAATATTTGTCCTTTGGTGACTAGTTTATTTCTCTTAGCATAATGTCTTTGAGGCTCACCCATGTTGTAGGATATGTCAGAATTTCCTTCCTTTTTAAGACTTTTAATATTCGTTGTATGTATATACCAACTTTTGTTTATCCATTCATCTGTTGATGGACACTTGGGTTGCTTCTACCTTTTGGCTTTTGTAAATAATGCCTCGATAAACAAGGCTACACAAATCTCTATTTGTATCCCTGCTTTCAATTCTTTTGAGCACATATCCAGATGTGGAATTGCTGGGAAGTTCAATTTTCACCTTGCAAATACGCTGCTTCTTCAGCCAGTCCTGGGCTTATTTTTCTTTAAATTACATTTATTTCTAATACCCTCAGAAAAGGCATCTCCAGTTGTCCCTTGTTCTTTAATCAGAAAAGCCTGGAGAACTACATTGGCACCTTCAGCTCTTAGAGTGCTGTGAGTTAAGAATGCTTTGAATTCCAAGTAACAGACTACATATCTGAGAATGCTTCCTCAAGAAGAGTTACTCTTCTCATAAAAGGACTGGTCTGTGCATTGACAATTGATGCCAAGGGTCAGTGAGGTCAGCCATGGTAACTTTCTACAGTTTCCCTGCCTTCCCTTCATGTTCTGAAGACGGATGCAGGACCTCAAAGCATGAAGTCCTCACATGGTGACTTTCAGATGAAAAAAGTACACCATCAGCATCATTGTCAAGCAGTCTTCTGTGTTTGACTGCCCTCTATTATTCTTCCCAATAGCTTCCACGGCACCCCTGTAAGAGTCTCCATTTTGCATGCTTTCCGAAGTTAGTACTTTGGGGGAGTATTATTTACAGTGTGTTCTGAGAAGATGTGATATTAAAATTTAATCAAAATCGAAACCAGATGAGACTAGAACTTTGAATCTCTTTTAAGAACTATAATATTATTTCAAGTCTGGGTATTTAACAAAATTGATGATGAGCTTTTCATATGAACTCAAAAGTGGAGTTCACTAATCCCTCCATATTCCTATCACCTATATTTAAAAATTATCAAGATATTACAACAGTTGTTAAATCTATCTCATTTATTCTTACCATTTTTCCTTCCTGTGCAAGTTTTTGAAACCCCAGACATCATGTCATTTCACTCCTACACAATTCACTTTGTATCTCTAAAATTTTTTTGACGTTTTCTTAGACAATCAGAGTGCCATTGCTACACTTTAAAATTATTCCTTGATAACTTCAAATACCTCCCCATGTCATTCCCCCATAGAGAGATGGAGTCTATTTCTCCAATTTCTTGAATGTGGTCTGAAGCTGTGACTACACTGATAAATGGAATATGGAAGAGATATCACTGCGCCAGATCTAAAATTAGCCTTTAGGAGGACTGCCAGCTTCCATTTCCTCCTTCTTGGACCCCAGCTGTCCTATTGTGAGGAAGCCCAAGCAGCACAGAAGAGACCTCTATGAAGGAACATAAGGGGCTCTAGCAACAGCTCGAACTGCTCTCCAAGTTGACGACCAGCACCCAGGTGCTACTCCTATGGGTGAGGCCATCCTGGAACTATCCTCAAGTCCTAGCTGAGGCACCCTAGTTATAGCGATGGGGAAGAGAGACATCTCCGAAAGACCTGGCCTGACTCCAAAATTGTGAGAAAATAAATTGTTTTAAGCCACTAAGTGGTCTACTATGTGCCAAGATAACCAAAACATTTTCCATAATTAAATGCTCCAATAATCTTAAGAAGAAGAACAAAGGATCTTTTCTTACATTTGCACCATTTGAATCAGGATCCAAATAAAAAAAGATCACATGTCACTTTGAGTATCATGTCTCTTAAGTCTTTTTAGTCTAGAACTTCTCTTTTTCTTCTTTTCTTCCTGCCTTTCTCTCTTCTTTGCCACTAACTTGTTACCATCAGCAGATTCTAAAGATAATACTGTAAAAATTTGTCTCTCTATACTTTTCTTCAACTTGAAAATTTCCTGATTCATGTGCCTGGAAGAAGCAATAAAAACAATAAAATATCCTAAGATTCTTTTTGCAAAAGATCTTCAAGGAATTGTACCAGGACATGCACTCCCCCAAAGTCACCGCCAAGTAAGAGAGGAGATTAAGTCCTGGTAGGCACTGTGAATGCACCTATTTTCTACTCTCCTCTCCTTCTCTTCTTATATACTGAAAATTAACTATCTTTTATCTATCTCCTCTGCAGGCAGAATTTCTGTTATGTTATAGAGATGACAATTACTTTTCATTCCAACAGGTAGTTATCATGATAGTGTGCAAAGAGCATAAGCTCCGGAGCCAGACAGATCTGCAGTTGAATTCAGTAACTTACTATGAAATCGTTGACAAGTCACTTAACTTCTCTGAATGCCAATTTCCACTTCTTTAAAAAAGTGATAATAGAATCTGTCCTAACGTCTTCTTACATGAGTTGATACCAGTGTATATAAAGTGAATTTCAGGAAGAATTCAGCAAACTGTTATGAATTAGTTTGGTCGCTTCTTCCAATAGAAGTGCTTACCAAGAGCAGCCACTAAATTTTTCTGTCTCACCCAAAAATAAGGAAGGAAGTGTGTTGTGGCCAAAGTGCATCAGAGCAAAAGCCACAAGATTTGGATTCTGCACCTAGCCTTAGAACTAAGGAACCTTCTCACAAAGCCTTCAAAACTCAAAGGGTTTTCAATTCTTCATCTACAAAACCAAAGAGGTAGAATAAGGTTTTCTAAACATTTTTCATAGAACAGCACACACACAAAAGCACATGGAAGTTTCTTCAAGGCTCCTTCAGTCACTTCAAGTTCCAAGGAGATGATATCTCAGCACATCCATAGCCCTCCCTGGCATCTCAGCACGTCACCGCACGCCAGCTGGGAAGCTCTGATCTGGAGGATTCTAAAGTCTCTCTAGCTCATGACACTTGTGATAGATGCTTCAGAGCAGGGAAAATGGTTAAATTAGACTTGGGGGGAGAGGAAAAATCCTTCAAGGTAGAGAGGTAAATCTAATGTTTATATTCAAATCTTGTGGACTGCTGCATGAAATTATCCTACAGACAATTCTGAGACCCCAGCGTATCTCCAGGGGGCACTTCCTTAAATGAAATGGATATAATTATAAATCATACAGTCCTTTCATTGCAAAGAAGTGTCTTAGCTTAATAAATAATCATTTATTATCTCACCTATTTCTAAAATTTCATAAACAAAGCACAAACATAAAGTGATACATTTTAAAGAGGCATAATTAGAATAGTGGAACATGCAAATACCTACAATTTTGGAAATAATTCATAGAAATTATTCATTTATCTGTCATATCTATTAGCTAGTCAACTGAGATAACATTGTTTTCCCAATTGTAAGCATCCAGTATCAGTGAAAGGAAGGGGGAGAGAGTAAGAGAGAGAGAGAAGAGGAGAGTGAGAACTCTAACAGTATATACATTTTTGTTATAGACAATAAAGTATTTTGCCTTTTCAGGGACTGATTTTCAAGGAAAGCTAGGGAAAGCCATGTATATTAGATAAAGGTTTACAGAAGTGTGTTGATTTTGCAGTGCTGAGACTTCAACCTTTATTTGGTAAAGGTTTTTAATGTTTCTTGCTACTAAAGTAGAATTTGACAAGGAATAAACTTTTAGAAAGTTCAAAAGAGCATATGTCCTAGAGTTGGATAATCTTAAAATTCTTCATCTTTTTTTTTTCAAATTTCTGTAGAAAACTGCAATGAATGTTCAACATTCATTGCAGTTTTAAACTTTGTGATTGGAGAGGGAGAGAAACAAACTGAGGGTTTTGGAGGGGAGGGGAGTGGGGGGCTGGGTGAGCCTGGTGGTGGGTATTATGGGGGGCACGTATTGCATGGAGCACTGGGTGTGGTGCATATACAATGAATTCTGGAACACTGAAAGAAATAAAACAAAATAAAATAAAAAAAAACTTTGAAAGCAAACTGGAATAAATTAGAGTTTAAAAATAACAGACAGAAGTAAACTCAAATAAAAAAAAGTAATAAATTTAAAACAGACTTTATGACTACAAATATAATTGTCATTTTTTAAAATTAGTAGTTTTTAGAGTTTTAATTTAATAGAAAAGATATAGATAGAGAAAAACAAATACAACTCTTATCTTCTGCGCAACAGATTTCCAGAGAAGCCCTGATCACTAGCCTCAGAGAGCACTCTATACTAGGTACATGGCACTGATGACTCTGGAAGACTGCATTTGTCC